TCTGGTTGTTTGGTCATCAGTCTCACCTGGAACAATGAAAAGTTCACATGATTTAGAAATCAAGCTATAAAAACCCTTTTACAGATATATACTGGCATTTTTTGTGAAGGATCTCAAAGAACTTGCAGATGATGCAAACACTTTTATTGTGCCACTGCCATGCACATAAACATTTTGGAGGTGGCATCCTGCCAGTGTCCATCATGTACTGATTATGGTGGGGAAATATTGCTTTAGTATTTTCTCTAAGGAGGGGAAACATGAGCTCCTTACAATGTCTGAAGAGCAATATTTTCTCATTCATAATGGTGTAATTTGAAAATAATCAAAATGTAGTAYTCAATGAATCTTCTTTGAAAAGTTRAGGTTGCTTAMAYAGATRGGAAATTTTGATTCTTGGGGAATCAGAATCTTTCCTGATGCAAAGATCATCTCAWCATTTCTTTCTCCCCACCTGCCTTTATCTGAAGTCACCAAATCCATACCTTTCTGGGTGAAAATAATTGGTATCAAAACAAACTTTATGTGAATAACTGAACAGTTTCCTAACTCTATGCCTGCATTAAGATATTAATGGTGATAATGCTAGGTAGAACAATGTAAGTCATGCTGGTCATGCAGGCAGAATTTCTAGGSTGAATCAGAGAATTATTATCGTTAAAATGTTAAATGTGAACATAATTAAGCACCTTGCTGAGTTACAGCTACTATGGCCACCAAGCAAAGTAATGTGAACATAAAAATGAGCTCAGCTTTAACTACAATGATGTTAAAAAAAATGTATAAATATAAATTTCTACCAAAAGAAAAAGCAAACAAMGTAATTGACAGGATATTTGTAACAGTATGTGGACACTACACAATGCCTCTTTGTGATTTCTGTCCAAAAGTCCTCAGTGACAAGTAAAAAAAATATTTTTATTTAGAACTGAAAAAAGTACACTCTCATGGCAACTGGAAGTGTGTGCTGACTATTTAAATAAGGACCACTGATAGTAACATTCAAATGTGGACATATTGAATTTACTCTTTGAATAGCTGGAGGAGAAATAGTTTACTATTGGTAAACATACATGTATTTTTCATTATGTTTGCCGTGCTAAAGTGAAATATTTATAAGATTTTTTTTTTGTAGTATCAACTACTATCATCCTATTTAATATTTCATTCAGATCCCTGCATAGATTAAAACTGTACTGAAGTTCAGAGAGCCAGCATGCCACTATTTCATTATACATTCTGCAAACAAATAGGAATATAGGCTTGCCACCAAGAACCGTGTTCACAGGCAAAAAAATTTCTCAGCTCTCAGAACACCTGCAGAAAGAAATAAAAATTAGGTAGCCATTAAAATGTATTTCAATGCAAATAAAGTGTAGAGAAATTTAAATTCACTCTTTAATACCCTGTATTTGTTTGTAATATTTCATTTAGGTCACAATAGCATAGAAAGTAGCTGTGTGTATGGTAATAAAACACTTTGGAATTACTCTCAGCAAAGAGGAAATGTCTGCTTCTTGASTGCTGTAGCACACAGGGATACCAGAGCATATAAAAAAGTCTTTGCTGGCAAGACTTTTAGGCTGACTTTACCATTTACCTGTACTCATAATGGATGCAAACCTGTACTGATAACCAGAGATAAGAAACAGAAGAAACAGCTGGTCTCAGCTTCTGGGCTTCTGCCAGAAATGGAATGATTATTCTCTATGTATAGCTGTAAAAAGTACTGCACATTTTGTCAACTCGAATTTATGCAAGGTTAGAATCATCCAGGAAACCAGAAGTGTATTATAGACAGCTTCACAGCAACCTCTTCAAGCAACACTAAATCCAATTATGCAGAACATCACAGAATTGTTTGTTATTCCTATAGCTCTTAGCYCTCATGAAAGCAAAAGTATTTGTTCCTCTTCTAATAGATCAAGAACACTATCATATGTAAGATTCTGTGATAATAAGTTATGACTGCAAAGCTCTTACCCAGATTAATTCAGAAGCAACTGAAGAAATGTGTCTTCTGAAAAATACACAGAGATCTATTCTGTCCTTTAGGTATTGAATTAAAACAAATCTTAAAGTGGAGCAACTGTGACTTGATAGTATTCCCACTGGGAATATGAATAATTGCTTGAGAGGGAAATATGTAGCAAGGTCAACTTTTAGTTAATACTGAAGGGTATTTTGTTTTTCAAAAATGATAACTTAGTGTAATTTGATTCAAATTATTCCTCAGGCAACGCCAATTCCCATGGATAAGAAACCTTACAATTGTCACTGGGTAWGCATTTTAAAACTAGTTGATGGACCACATATTAGCACATAGTTTAGTGTTTACTGAATGAAAGCATGCAAAGAAATCACCCAGTAAYTGATAGTGTAAAATGAAACAGTGATCCATCTCTGACTCCTTCCTAGTGCCTTCTAGAATGGAGAATACTGGAGCAGTCAGCAAAATTATATTTACAGCAGACTTTGTTCTTACACAAAGACTATTTAAGAATATTTATGAGAGAACATTTAAGCATCATGKTTAAGAATTTTGTATGAACCTGAAAATGGGGTTAGAATAGGACATCCTCCCTTGTTTCAAGGTATTTATTATGAAAATATTACATTATATWTAATTTTTGATACTTTTTGCATTTCTACATTTTATCTTTACCTCCTCTGAGGCTGAGGCAGAATAGAAACCAAGAAGCTGCTGCTGGTGGTACCAGAAAGGGCAGCTCAAAGAGCAGCAGCTTTGGCCTTCCCAGCTCCCCAGCCTTGCAGCCTACAAAAACAGAAACAATGGCAGTGCCTGCCCCAAAAACGAGTGTTTGATCATATATAAATTAGGTGTAGATTTGAGTATTTACGTTTGAAAACGCGAACAGTTCTGTGCTCCTGTGTTCATGGGCCATGCTACAGACTTCAATGGCAGTGCAGTGTGATAGTTTTTCAAGAGATCTAACACTGTAATTAAAATTCTGTTTCTTGCACATTTTGAGGGTTATTGGTTCTCTCTTTGAAATTTTCTTCTTTTAAGARCACTAATCTCTGTAAATGTAAGTAATAGGAGAGCAGTGACACTCAGCTTAGCTACAGATGSCTGAATGATGGTTTGAAGACAACAGCAGAACCTGCAGAGATGCTGAGGTGGAATTTTCAGAATTCCTTGGCCACCAGCAATCTGAAACAGGATTATCTCATTCATGGAGAGAGACTTTTCAYRAGGGCATGTCATGGCAGGACAAGGGGAAATGGCCTTAAGATGAAGGAGGATAGCTTGAGATTGGGTGTTAGGAAGAAATTCTTTGCTGGAAGAGTGGAGAGGCACTGGAAGGTTGTCCAGAGAGGCTGTGGGCTCCCCATCCCTGGAGGTGTTCAAGATCAGGCTGGCTGGGGCTCTGATTAATTTGGTCTAGCAGGAGCTTCCCTGCCCTTGGAATTTGGAACTAGATGATCTTTAAGGTCTCTCCCAACCCTWACCATTCTATGATTCTGTTTCTTTCAAAGACATTCCTGCCTTTCTCTGGCTTCTTARCAATGTCCAAAATGTACATGAAACCATTCACCCTCTCAGCAGCCTGTACCCTGTTCTCACCAGCTCTTCCTTGTTTTCTTCACACCATCTATAATGGCACCARTTTCTCCCATGGCTGATTTGTGTCCCCTCCATGGAGTCCCCGTTGTCCCTCCAGCCCTTCTTCACAATTCAAGTGCAAAAGTAGCAAAATTTCCCTACAGTCATTTTTATAAATATGTTTTGTCTCTTTCCTCAAACTCTTTTTGTCCACGCCCCAATTGTACTCCATTCTACAGACTAAATTCTGGGAATCTGGTACAAAACAGATGAAATCTGTATATTGGTAATTATTATTTGTATGGATTGTGATTTGTTGATTTTGTTAAAGTTCCTTCAGCTTGGGAGTGGCATAGATACTTTTAAAAGTATCTGTTTTGAATAAGAGAGGGAAAGAGAATAGAGCCAAATGGTCAAGCAGCTAATTCCTAGTTGTCCTGATAACAATTGCTTTCCTTTGTGAACAGCAGGGGTCACTAAAAAGGAAGGTTATACAGGGTGAAACAAATAGGCTTTTTTTTTTCTCTCCACTAGATCACTTTTCATATGTTTTCTGTTTTAATCATTATAGTAAAAAAAAATTATTGGTTCTATTTTGTTTGACCGATAACAAAGTCTTAATAAAAAATTATGTCCCTGATTATGGCCTAAACTATAAATTATGTCTGCTGCTAATAAAAAAAAATATTTATAATTGTTTTGTCAARTGAGTTTTAGAAAAACCTATTTTACAAAGTATTTTCATGATGTAAGTCAATGTTCACATTTGACACCGTGATAGCCAAGAATGAGCAAAGTTATTTCCTCTCTATTTCTTGTGATCACACTGTCATTTTCTCTATTATTTCCTGTTATTGGAAGGCAGTAGGACACAATTAGTAATGCGAAGAAGTAAAAATAAACATGTTCATCATTTAGAGTAAATCAKCAAGARGATAACAACAAACAAAATACTTAGAGGGTCTCCCAGTGTAATTTTGCTCAAAATATAAACAAGGGCATAATTTTATTCTTAGAAGCATGWGAAGTGCTGACCACATGGAAAAGAAATAGAAGATATCCCAGTCAAACACCTTAGCAGGAGGAATCCTTTATGGGAACACGCCAGAAAAAATAGGTTGCTTGCTCTGGGTCATATCTGTTCTGTAAGCTTWGCTTTCAAGGAGTTTTTGTATTTATCTTTGCAGCTGAATGAGTTTGGTTTCTCTCAGATTAGGACAGAAATTTCAGAACAGCAGGTTAATCCTTCCTGCCTTCACGGGCARCTGAGCAAACAGACCTGTATCAACGTGGCCGAGTGTAAAATTGTAATTCTAGAGATTAACCTTGTCTTTCCTGTTTGACCTCCATGTTTCTCTTCTAGGTATGTTTCTATGTATGAATGTATATGTGCAGTTATTTATTTATTTGTTTGTTTGTTTGTTGTTAACAGCTTCTGTCCAAGGCCCMTGGGAGAGGGCAATCTCACCAAACAAAGTGCCGTATTATATCAAGTGAGTATAAATAGCAATTCATTCCAGCTATTTGCATTTCTTATTTAAGAGGATAGTTAGTAATTTTCTTAAATTATTGGGAACTGCTCCTCTTGTGTTCTRAATGGGAAGGACCAAAAAGAACAAAGCATGCAATACGTTTCACAAAAGTGTGCTAGTTATCTAAAAACACAGTAGGATGTGATTTGTAAGTTGTTTGGGTTTGTGTTACTGTAAATCACCTGTAAATGAAGTAAAGCTCTTGGTTACCTGGATCATAATTTAAGTTGCACCATTGCCCATTGTGTGTATGGTTGGCAGGTTTCACAAAAGCAAAAAAAAAAACAAAAGCCAACATTTCGATTTGCAGTTGTAAATGTGATGCATTCGTTTTTCAATGTAGTAATGTATGTACCCAATGCTAAGAATTCCTTTAGGGACAGTAAGTCCCTYGGTAAAGTCCATAGCTGAGAAATTACAAAGGGCAATTTGTCCCTAAAGTGTAATCTTTTAGAGTTTAGTTCCCAAACTAAGCTAGTTTGCTTTAAGAGAAGTGTCTGCATGACAAATGAGGGGAATTTTTTTTTAAAAATCAACAATTTGGAAACTTCTCCTTCTCTTCCCCTAAACAGAGCCACCACACAACAACAACAAAAAAAAATAAGAAATACATTTGTTTCTTCTCTTTTGAGCTCTTTATCTGTAACATGTGCTTTGAAATACTTTTTACGACTTCTGGGGGTAAYAGGTGATACCAGCCATAAAGATGAGTGGAAATAACAGACATGGGTTTTGTTTAATACATCTGTTTACATGAGTCCTCTTTATATTYCCTGAAAGCTTTGCAAACTCAGCTAGTGTCACTGAAGCCATTTGGTTACAGATGGCTCTTGCAGTGGCACTGAAAGTTGCAGCTTTCACAGCAGGGTGAACTTCCACAGCAGCTTTAGAACAAGTATTTGGGTTATGCATGAAGGAAACTCTGCAGTGCATTTCAGAGGTTCAGTTATACCTGGCTAAGCTGGTTTACTGATGCATTAATGTTGTAGCTTTTCTGATGTTTGCATTTGGCTATGAATAATGAAACAGTCACAAGGAAGCTGGAAAGCTCTGTCAGGAGGGAGGAGCAGGGTACCAGAGACATGCTGGACAGCAAGTGAGTGCTCTGGCATGAAAGACACTTCATGGCACTAATATGGAGGCAAATATCCTCTTTTTCTCTTTAACATGGCATCACTTGCCATCATGGGGAGAGAARTTTGGCAATTCTTAAAGAAGGCACAAAATGCACCTCATGCTGTGCTTGACACCTCTCTCTGTGACACATCCAGCAATAAGGGGTAACTGGCTAAAATGGTCAATACTGGTCTTGCTTTCTCCTTCCCACTTTTTAGTTTTCTGTTCTAGGCCATTTTCAAATGCAAAGGAATATGTTTATTTTATTCCCTTTAAAAAAACACTTTAATTGCTACAAGCATTGTTGTAGCATTATGCCATGGATCCTGATTTAGGATTTTGCCAACTACACCAATTTGTCACAGATGAGTGATTCAGATCGCTTCAAGAATCACTGTCAGAGATATTAACAAGAGTGGGTTTAATATGAGATTATAGAARTGCAGCTTAGTAAAGTTCAATGGCAAGGTTCACTCTATTAGTTACTACATTATACAAAGGAGAGTCAAGTTTAAATCTGTTTCAAATGATTTACACAGAGACCGAAAAGTCAAAGGGTAAGGCAGACCCTCCCATTGGATCATGAGTGTCAGAGCAAACCTTCTTGCTTTCTAAACTTTTCTAAACTCAGCTTAGCTGTGGTTAAATTCAGGCTTTTCTCAGACTTGGACAATGGTATATATCTAAAGGAATTAACTGCATGGATTTCATTAATATTTTTTTAGCGTGCTACCAGATACTTACCAGGGATCCATTGTAAATTAAGGGGTCTCTCTGCCTTGAGTAAGGAAKGATTTCTCAGTCCCAGGTAAGCAATCTCAATCCTTGAGAGGGATCCCAGCTGCAGAGGAGAGTCAATGGTGTGCAGTTTAGAGAACTCGAATCAGACTCATCCAAAAATTGTTTGTTTGTAGAAAGGTCTCTGCCTGAAGAATAAGGGTTGAGAGTTGTCCCAGGGCTTGGGGAGGTCAGTGCCATGCGGTCACCCTGCTCAAAGGCGGCTCCCCCAGGCTGTCAAAGCTCTGGGATAGAGTGGTTGGCTTGTAGTAAATTGGATACCTCAGGAAGGGCATGTGTGAGCCTCGTCGTAGCCACAGCTCTGTTTGTTCTTGGATAAATGACTCCTGGAAATCCACCTGCCATTGGTGTGTTCCTCTCACACTCCGTGTTCCAGGCTCACCGGGTCACTCTGTCCCTCTGGGGGTTTCTACAGGATTTCCCAGCTGCAGCTCAGCTCTTTACTTCCTTTGGAGCTTGTGCCAAATTACTGCTGGTTTGGTTGAGGGGTCAAGCACATATGTCAGACATTACTGGTTTAATCAAAGTTTAAAATTTAGCCACATCTTTTACAGAAAMACTTGCTGTCCTTGAGATGTTAAACAAAGCAGTCAAGTTTTATTGGATGTTAATGAGCTCATACATCTATTGCCTTCTCCAGCTGTCCTCAATCTTTCTTTTTTCATTCATTCTCATCACTCATATTACATATTTACAAACKAAATTGTTTTCTGTACCATTTTAGCTTTTGAATAAACATRTTCTTTCTTTAATCTTTGATGCATTACTTTTCTATTAGTTGTTAATTTTCTGAAAGAATTTCATGAAGGCTAAGAAGCTACAGGTAGCATTCTCTTCATGATTACATAATTTTCTCTCATCAACGTAAATTATTAGTGTTAGCCATCTTCATTAACCAGATTTGCTACACATTTTACTGGTTTTCATTTCGTCTGTTTTCCCTTGATGCCTAACTGTTTTATCTCATCACTTTCACATGTGTGATGATATTGCAYGCAATAATCCATAAATCAGGCAGTWCTTCATGCTAAATCTTCAGCAGCAATGTTTATTTGTGATAGGTATCTTCAAGACCTGTGATTTTCCTGGTTAAAATTTCATTTGTATGGAGTTGATTAATCTGTAGCAACTAGTTGCCTCTAAAGCTATTACTTCAATAATTCCCTCTTAAGCTTATTCACACCAGTTGGTTTGGGTTTGTTTTTTTTTTGGTTTGAAATTGTATTTGTATAGGCAACATTGCTGTGGAAAATAGAATTATCAACAGTGTACAACCTTTTTTCAGCTGTTCCCAGTGCCTGGCATTTGGTGGCTTCTTGGCCTRGTGTCAGCCTCATGAAAATTTCCTTTTAATGGCCTTGCCTCAGCTGCTGCATTTCCTTCYACCCTTTTGTGTGCTTCCCTCCTTATGGCGATGACAAGCTAGACCAGAACTTCAGCCCCACCTATCTCTTACCCAGCAAACTGAGGAAATCTAATTTTTGTGTTCCAGGACAGCAGAAATATCCCAAGCTGCAGGTGGACATGGCAGCCTGAGCACTGAGCACTCAATGAGGTGCTACCTTAAAAAACTTCTGTTTTACCTCTGAGTTAAAACATGTAAAATTGCCTGAAAACACATTTTCTCCAACACTTTTCTTTGTTATCTTTTTTCTCCTTGATATATTCATTGTGTCTAGTACAGAATTTAAAGGTTTTATTAGATTACAAAAGGGAGAGGACTATTTAAAAAATAGTTTTCAGTTTAATCAGTACTGTTCTTTGAAGATTTTGATCCTGCTTTTACTGCAGTGCAACCTARAAAATGGAAAGGAAGAAGCAGGCAAAGGCATGTCTGTACTCTTTATTAATGTTTTAGGTATTCATTAAAATTTCTAAATTTAAGTTTTTAGAAGACAAAACAGGCAATTACTTCATATTAGAAACCTGAAAAGCAAATGGAAAAAAATGCACACCTCAAAGCCTGGAGAATAAGCATCAAAAGATTTTAAAAATGTATTCAAATTCTAAAAAAAGGCAGATAATAAAGGTAGGGAGGCTGTGGGTTTTTACACTGTAATTCAGGTTAGATCACATTTTAGCAGAGCTCACCCCATGATGAAAGGGATCTCATGTGTGCAGGCAGGCACATGCAAACTCTTATCTTCCAATCAAACAGATAGAGGAGCTGCTCCAGAGCAGTGACAGGTAACAAAATCAAATGTCTGCTTTCCATTTTGCAGCACCAGAAGARGTGTTTGGTCGTGCTGCACAACCCAATCCCTCTGCAGTGTCTGTCCTCCCAGGGCACCAGGGGACATTAAGCAGCTCCACTCTGAACCATGTTTACACCTCCCTTGTGTGCCTCTTGCCCTCTGCTCTGAAAACTTATCCATTACTCAGTGCTAGGAGACCTCTGTTACCTCGGATTAAGGAGGAGGAGTGGGATTGAAGTCTGCAGCATACTTTCTCTCTAAAAAAAAAATGCTCAGTAGTCCTGCCATGGTGATGTGTTGAGATCTAGTAGGTGTGACTTCTATATTTGTACTAATCTTTGACATTTTTCTTCCTCCGTGTATCTGTCTTGCCAGTTAATGGTGTCTGTCTTCTTACCCTCTTGCTGTGCCCATTCTTTTGAAGGATTTAAAATGCTTCTGCAAAAATACAGTAGTCTTTCATCTCAGTGCTTCCCACAAAGGAAACCTTCCAAGTTATTTCCCAGCCAAGCTTATTTTCTTATACAGATTATAGCAGTTCACTGAACTTTGTCCTGCTGAGGACAAAGCTGATTCTCAGGAGCACAGCTTTGACTCCTTGAGAAGATCCATGTGAGCCTATCTCTGTAAATTAGCCATGCAGCGAGCTAACTCCAAGGACAAGGCATCTCCACTTGCTCAGTCTCTTCCACATTGTAGTTTCCTATGAGAATATTTGATTTGCATTTAATGTATCAGTTTATGACATACATTTTGTGCTAGTTTTAGATCTTACATTCTTTGCCTGCTTCACACTGGAGATCTAGCAGGCCAGTTTCTATAAACACACTTCTTTGTTGTCTTAATTTTTAA